CCAAGGAGAGTGGGAAAATTGTTTTGAGACTTTAGAAGGCCCCATTAAAACGGAACTTCTTTTGTCCAAATACTAACTGGGCTAAATCTTGTTTAGTGTCTGAGACCCAGTGAGGCTGGGGAGATGCTACTGCAGATAAGTAGATGCTCGTTAACCACCGGAATTCAGAGATGGGGAGAGCCCTGAATACTGCTATGGTCAGCAAAGGTTTCGTGGTGAGATGCTAACTGAGCCTGGCCTGCAAAGACTCTGCAGTCGGGAAGCCGGGGTGATGGTTCATGCCTCTTGTCCTAGCACTTGGGAGTCTGAGGCAGGAGTTCTAGACAGACTGCGTTTTACAGCCAGACCCTACACCAACAAACAGGCAATCAAGGTGGCAGGAAGGAGGAGAACGGGGTTCCTAGGTTACCAAGGATACTTGAGGGTATATGGGAGTGGTGCTTTCAGATAAAATAGAGTGTTGCTGGCTCTATGACTCTTCCTGTCCACACACTCACACACATTCACACACACACACACTCACACACACGGTTTGAAGCTAGGGCTTTGCTTAAGTTAGGCAAGCGCTCTACCGCTAAACCATGTCCCCAGCCCCTCACTGGGGGATTCTAGGCAGATGCTCTACCACTGAGCCACACCCTAGCCCCTCACTGGGGGATTCTAGGCAGGGTCTCTACCACTGAGCCACACCCCAGTCCCTCACTGGGGGATTCTAGTGATACTTTACAATTAAGCTACATCTCACCATTTTTTTTTTTTTTTTTTTTTTTTTGGTTTTTCAAGTCAGGGTTTCTCTATGGTTTTGGAGCCTGTCCTGGAACTAGCTCTTGTAGACCAGGCTGGTCTCGAACTCACAGAGATCCGCCTGCCTCTGCCTCCCGAGTGCTGGGATTAAAGGCATGCGCCACCACCGCCGCCCGGCCTTTTTTTTTTTTTTTTTTTTTTTTTTTTTTTGAGACACAGTCTCACTAAGTTGTTCAGGAGAACCTCAAATTTGAGATCCTCTTGCCTCAATCTCCTACGCACCTAGGATTACAGGCCTGCACCACCACGTAGCTCCAGCTCTGGGACTCATATTGCAAGGCCTGCAGCCTTGTACCCCAGGCACCTCCATGCTCAGTCACCTCCATCCCAGTGTCTGTCATCTGAGCAAACATCTCCTTCTTCAGCTGCAGTCAGGCAGGCTAAAGGTCAACAATATTGAACTTCGCAGGGCTTGGTGCTAAGCAGGGTTCGGTAGCACCTCTGGGTGGTGGGTGATCAGTTTGGCTTGCTGGGTCACGCCCAGCTGTTCCCTCCTGCTAGCAGGCTCAGGGATCCACTGAGTACCATTTACCCCTGGAGCGCTTGAGGGCCTTTGCTCTTCTTCTCTGGAAGGGTTACTGTACTAGTGACAGTGACCCTGAGGAAGATGCTGTCAAAAGAAAGGGGCCAGGGAGCTATCATAGATGTCTCATAGCTGGTATAGCTATGGCTGTGCAAAGCAAAGGACCCGAGTTTGGATCTTAGTACCATGTAAAGGCCAGGCACCTCTGTGCCCATTGAATTCCAGCACTGGGAAGGTGGAGACTGGAGTATAGTCCATGGGGTGGGGGAGCTGGTGTGGCCCAGGCAGTGAGCTTTAGATTCTGTAAGACCCTGTCTTAAAAAATAGGGTGGAAAGCCCGGCGGTGGTGGTGCACGCTTTTAATCCCAGCACTTGGGAACAGGTAGTTAGATCTCTGTGAGTTCAATGCCAGCCTGTCTACAGAGTGAGTTCCAGCACAGTCAGGGCTACACAGAGAAACCATCTGGAGGTGTTGGGTGGGGAGACCTGGTAAGATGGCTCAGTTGATACAGTGTTTGCAGCACCAGTCTGGCAGCCAAGTACCCACAGGAGGTTAGCAGAGAGCTGACTGCATATCAGGCCCCGGTGTGAATTTGAATTCTCTGTGAATTCAAAGCTAGCCTGGTCTACAAAGCTAGTTCTAGGACAGCCAAAGCTGTTACACAAAGAAACCCTGTCTTGAAATACCAAAACCAAACCAAAACAACGAAAAAACTAAAACAAAACAAACTCCAACAACTATGGTCAGGAATTTGAGTGGCCCATGTTTTTCCTGCTGCACCCTTGGGACTTTGGGGAAAAGAGATTTCGGTCACTGAGGTTGGTCCAAGCTGAGTTAGGTAGGTCAGGGAACTGCCTCTAGTGTGAACAGACATTTTTACCTTGCACCCAGGCCCTTTCAGGCCAGAGCCTTTAGGCCAGTGACTTCATTGGCGTGGGGCCTGAGGTCCTTCCTTATCTGTAAAGGAGAGAATAAACAGTCTTATCTCACAGCGTTGCCGCTAGGTTCAGATGAGGTGAGCGCCTTCTCCAGGATCTGGCCTCTGACAACACCAGATGCTCTGTCTCCTCTTGGGTACCAGGCTGCAGACCTCTGTCCTTAGAACTTTGCCACAGGAGGAAGCTGCAGAGCCCAGCTCACTCCCATCCTCCCCTGGAGGGATCTGGGATGTCATGAACTTGATCGGTCAGGCTGATTTTATTTTACTCAGGCCTGGTGATGCAGGCAGTAACCTCTGCTACCGTGGAGGCTGAGGCAAGGAGGGTTGCAAGTTCAAAGCCAGCCTGGGCTACAGAAGTCTCATTTCCTCAGTAGAGTTCAATTTCAATCTCTGAGTTTTTGTTTTGCTTTGGTTTTTGTTTTTTTGTGACAGGCTTTCTCTGTGAAACAGCCCTGGCTAAACTGGAGCTCACAGTGTAGAGCAGGCTGGCCTCGAACTCACAGAGATCCACCTGCCTCTGCCTCTCCAGTACTGGTATTAAAGGCAAGCGCCACCAACCCCTGGCAAATCTCTGGGTTTTTGTCAGTTTGTTTGTTTTCTGGTTGAGACAGGCTTTTGCTCTGTAGCCTGCGCTGCCTGAAATGTGTAGCCCAGACTGGCATCAAACTTGTAGTAATCTCCCTGCCTCAGTTTCCCAGTTGCTTGGGTTACAGACTGGAGCCATCACGCCTGGATGAAATGGCCTCTCCTAGTGTGAAAAGGATGTGCTGTTTTAAAGTCTGTGGTGGTTAACAACCAACCCTAACCCTAAAAGAACCCAGAGCTAGGGCTGTGTAGCTCAGTGGTGGAGCATTTACCTAGCATGCGTGAGGAAGCCCCACGGTCCATCCCAGCCCTCCATGAACTTCACAGGATAGTGGTGACGAACACCTATAATCCCAACACTTGGAACTGGGACTGGGAGCATAGCTCAGTGGTTGATTGTGTGGGTGAAACACCAGGTTCACTCTCCAGTACCACTCCCCCCACAGAGGAAAAAAAAATCCTAATGTGAAATTTACATATTTAAAGTGGAGGAGATTATTCCTAGAGATAGTCAAACAAATGCATGTGAACGTGTTTAAGAACGCCAAATCGTTGTGCAAACGGGCGTATAATGTTGCTGTAAGGGGGCCCCAGCCAAATAAGATGCCATACCTCATGGCTGACCTAAGTGTGAGTGGGCGCATTTTATGTGGTGTCAACTCAACCCTCAGCCTGATTTCTGTTCCTTCCTGTCTTCCTTTTTTTGCCCCTAGGTGGCATGAAGCCCAACACGTTGGTGCTCGGCTTCTATGATGACACCCCACCCCAGGACCATTTTCTAACAGACCCAGCCTTCTCCGAGCCTGCAGAGGGCACCAGAGAGGGCGGGTCGCCTGCCCTGAGCACGCTGTTCCCTCCACCTCGGGCTCCAGGGAGCCCCAGAGCTCTCAGTCCCCAGGACTACGTGGCCACGGTGGCAGATGCTCTCAAGATGAACAAGAATGTGGTTCTCGCCCGGGCTTGTGGGGCTTTGCCCCCAGAGCGGCTAAGCCGGGGGTCCAGTAGCAGCGCTCAGCTCCATCACGTGGACGTGTGGCCCTTGAACCTGCTGCGGCCCCGGGGTGGGCCCGGCTACGTGGACGTCTGTGGCCTTTTCCTGTTGCAGATGGCTACCATCTTAAGCATGGTGCCTGCATGGCACAGTGCCCGGCTCCGGATCTTCTTGTGCTTGGGGCCTAGGGAGGCTCCTGGGGCAGCGGAGGGAAGGCTGCGGGCTCTGTTGAGTCAACTCAGGATCCGGGCAGAGGTGCAAGAGGTGGTGTGGGGTGAAGGGGCCGAGACTGGGGAGTCTGAGGAGGAGGAAGGGGACTTCGTGAATGGTGGTCGAGGAGATGAAGAGGCTGAGGCTCTGGCTTGTAGTGCTAACGGTCTGGTGCGTGCCCAGCAGGGGCGAGGCATGGGAGGAGGCCCTGGGGGGCCAGAAGGAAGGGATGGGGCGGAGGGACCCACTACAGCCCTTACCTTCCTGTACCTGCCTCGACCGCCGGCCGATCCTGCCCGCTACCCCAGATACCTGGCGCTGCTGGAAATCCTGAGCCGTGACCTAGGCCCCACCCTTCTTGTTCATGGTGTCACTCCGGTCACCTGTACTGATCTCTGATGCCTGTTTATACAGGGTAGAGAGGGCCCAGGCCCATTCTCAACAATGGACCCCTTATGGACCCTGCCCTCCGGATGATGTTTTAGAGGGACCACGGCCTTCTTTGGATGGGGGGGGGGCATAGTACACTAATTCGGGTGGCCGTCCTCATTGTACATGGGACGACACCGCGGCCCTGTCCCTGGCCTGCCTCCGCTTCCTTCATTGGTGCCTTGACCAGAGGGGCTGGTCTCTTCTGTGACTCTAGGCTACCTCAGTGTCCCCATCCTGGCCACAGACGCACCGCCTCCCTCTCCTGACTTCCTTGGGTGGTGATGTTTGTGTTTTGTCTTATTTTTCTAACTACTGATCATTAATAAAAGACCAAAACACTACGTGCTGGTGGAGCCCTGCTGGTGGGTAGGTGAGAGGGGGCGGGTGGGAAGGCAGAGATCTGGAAGGGGGTGGAGACCAGAAGCCTTTGGAGTCCCGGCCAAGAGGCTGCCACGTGCAGAACCGGGGCAGGGATCACAGAGAGTTGCTGGGCCGCAGCCTCTCTAAGCAGCATGCAGCCCACCCTGTGGCTTGGCTCCGGAGGAGGGCGGTTCTTTCTTAACAGGAGGGGGCCAGAGAGAGGAGGGATTGCAGATTAGGGTTTAAGGGGACCACGTGACCCTCCCCCAGGAATGCGGTGACGTCAGGGGGCGTGGTTGTCCCCAAAATTGGGGAGGAAGGGGAAAAAAAAGCCAGAAAAAGTTTCTTTGCGGGAGTCCCAAACGGGGCGGGGGACGGAAGGGGAGGAAAGGGGCTCAAGGCTTCGGGCTCCGGGCTTGTGGGGGCCCTGACCTCTGTCTGGAGTGGAGTAACCATTCCAGACCATGTCGGGACCCACCTGGCTTCCCCCGAAGCAGCCAGAGCCCTCCAGAGTCCCTCAGGGAAGAGCGCTTCCCCGAGGCGCCCTGGGGCCGCCACCGGCCCACGGAGCAAGTAAGTGTTCCTCTCTTTCATACCCGGGAGTGGCGGAAGAGCCACTGGCCGGCCACTCTTCGCCTTTTCTTCCCTGCCCGGCTGCTTCCTGCTGTCTCTTCCCCAAGCCAGAGGCCCCTACCCTTGTGCAACCTTCTCTGACTCCTATCCATTCCCAGACGCCCCAGGTACGTGAAGGAGAGGCGCCCCGAAAAGGGCAGCCTTCAGGAGGTACCCCGTCTCCATTCCCACGTCTGTTCTCTCTTACAGCACTCCAGCCCCACCCCAGGGTCAATTTTTGCCCCCTCCCACCTGAACAATGTTACCAGCCTCCGGGGGTACCGGACGATCGGGGGCCTTCCTGGGTGGGATCCCACGGAGCACCCCAGCGCCTGCAGGTGAGACTTGGAGGTGAGGGTAGGGTATGTGGGTCTCTTTCTCGGGGTGAAGGTGAGAGAAGCCCAGGGGTTGTGGTCTATATTTGTTCTCCCTGCTTTGGCTCTGTCTCCAGGGGCTCCCGCCAGACAGGGGCGTCATCCGCCCTGGAAGCCTGGATGCTGAGATCGATTCGCTCACCAGCATGTTGGCGGATCTGGATGGAGGTCGCAGCCATCCTCCTCGGCGACCAGACCGACAGGTCTGTGTCCTGTGTCCTCTTTCTGCTTCCCCGTCCCCAGTCAGTTCCCTTTTGTGGATTCTCTCCTCAAATCACCCTTTCCACTCCCCACCTACCCTCCTTGCAACTAATGGACGCCTGGCTCCAGGAAGCCCAGGAAGCCCGAGCTTCCTTCTTGTCAGGCCTTGTTCCTGGGAACTTGTCAAAAGTCATTGCTTCCCCGGGGCTCCCACCTGGCTTGCATGGATGGTGAATCTGGCCTTACTCACTGTTTCTGCATTGCTTGTCTCCCCAGGCTTTTGAGGCCCCTCCACCCCATGTTTACCGTGCAGGCTCCCTGAAGCCCAGTGGAGGTGCGGGTCCAAACCCTATGCTCCCAGCATCCCCTTATGGCGGACCTACCCCAGCCTCCTATGCTACCGCCAGCACTCCGGCTGGCCCTGCTTTCCCTGTGCAAGTGAAGGTGGCTCAACCTGTGAGAGGCTGTGGACTGCCTAGGCGGGGAGCCTCTCAGGCCCCTGGGCCTCTTCCGGGCCCCCACTTTCCTTTGCCAGGCCGTGGTGAAGTCTGGGGGTCTGGCTATAGGGGTCACCGTGAGCCAGGACCAGGGGTTAAGGAGGAAGCTGCTGGGATACATGGCCCTGCAGGAGGAGGAAGAGGAGGCGGGCATGGGCCCCAGGTAAACCGGGATGGGGGTCAGGGGGCACTGTGGTTTGTGGTCATTGATTGGGCGGCTTGGAGGCTGGGGGTTGCTTAGGATGCTGGTTTTAGGGCTGGGGATATGGTTCAGTTTGTAGAGTGCTTGCTTAGTATGCAGGAGCCCCCAAGGTTCCATCCACAGTACCACATAAACCAGGCGTGATGGAGGTAGAGGCGGGAGGATCAGTACATTAAGGTCATCTTTGGCTACGTAAGGAGTTCCAGGCCAGCCTAGGCTGTATGAGACACTGCGCAGAGATAAATAAATGAATACATCGTTCCTGGTTTTACAATACTCAGGTTAAGGGTCAAGACGGCCAAAGGGAAGGGGTTAGGGCTCCCCACCGCCCCCAGCAGCTTCTGAGAGATGTTCTCAGAGGAGATTTCAGGGTTCCTGATCTTACGGATAAGTTATGATTATCAGAGACTGTAGGCCGCCCCGCAATGCCCTGATTCTCACTGTAGGTCCCCTTAAGCCAACCTCCGGAAGAGGAGCTGGAGAGACTGACGAAGAAGTTGGTGCATGACATGAGCCACCCGCCCAGTGGGGAGTACTTTGGTGAGCTGGCCTGGTGGGCAGGGTGGGAAGAGGGTGGGGACGGTGGAGCTGTGCAGACTGATCTCATGGCTCTCCATCCTCAGGTCGCTGTGGTGGCTGTGGCGAAGATGTGGTTGGCGATGGAGCTGGGGTTGTGGCCCTGGACCGTGTCTTCCATATTGGTTGTTTTGTGTGTTCTACCTGTCGGGCCCAGCTCCGGGGCCAGCATTTCTACGCTGTAGAGAGGAGGGCTTACTGTGAGAGCTGCTACGTGGTGAGTGGTTAGGCTGGGGAGAGGGGGCTGAAGTAAGCATCACGATGGGCAGGCGGGCTCCCGTCTAAGAGAGATGGGGCACATGTTTCTAAAGATCAGTTGGCCCATCAACCAAAAGAGCATTTTGGGTTTTGTTTCTTTGGTTGCTAGTTTATTGCTTTGGGATAATATGTCGTGTATCCCAGGCTGGCCTGAAACTCTTACGTATATAGCTAAGGAATAATTTCTTGCCTCTATCCGTGGGGTTTGGGGATTCCAGACATGTGCCACCAGGTGTTTTAGGGGTGCTGGAAATGGAATCCAGGGCTTCAGGCATGCTAAGCAAACACTTTACCAACTGAGCTTCAGCCCCCAGAGCAAGGAAGGAGTTAAATGTGGATACCAGTTGAAGGGGGTGGGGAGAGCAGCTGCTCGTTTCAATTGAGAGGCCTTCCTTCCTTCCTTCCTTCCTTCCTTCCTTCCATTCTTACTGCCTTGTTCTCATGGATTTTTTCCTTCCTTCCTTCCTTCCTTCCTGTCACTGTGTAGCCCAGGCTGGCCCTGAAGTCATGGTCCTCCTGCCTCAGCCTCCCGAGAGCTAGGAAAACAGATGTGCGCCAGTCCCCATACCCAGCTCGAAGGCATTTTAGGGTTGAGGTCATTTGTGAAAGTCTGACAGCGTTCCTCAGAGGCAGCCATTACTGGTGACTCAGCCTACTAGAGAAGGAAGTGTGTGGAGGCTTAATTCCTTGTCTGGAAGCCACAGTGCTGGGATAAGAACCGAAAGATGCACGGTCACCTCCCACTGAATCCTGTGCGGGAGCTGAGCTGCGCACAGCAGATGGGTGGGTGGCCAGCGAGCCTCCCTGGCTGTCGCTGCTTCTGTCCGACCTTCCTTCCTCTTTCCTATTAGGCCACCCTGGAGAAGTGTTCCACTTGCTCTGAACCCATCCTGGACCGAATCCTGAGGGCTATGGGGAAGGCTTACCACCCTGGTTGCTTCACCTGTGTGGTGTGTCACCGTGGCCTCGATGGCATCCCTTTCACTGTGGACGCCACCAGCCAGATCCACTGCATTGAGGATTTCCACAGGTCTTGCCTTGACTCGGAATGTTTGACCTGTCCTGTCGCTTCATGTTCCTTTGTGACTTCTGGTCCTCTCTTTCTTTGACATCCCTTTCTTTCCCAATCCTTCTCATTTCCCTCCCCTTTCCACTTTCGCTCGGCTCCATTGTAAGCCTCCCGTGCGGAGGGAGGGACCTGAAAGCCCCTACGGTTCCCTTCCACCTCAGGAAATTTGCCCCACGGTGCTCGGTGTGTGGTGGGGCCATCATGCCAGAACCAGGTCAGGAGGAGACGGTGAGAATTGTTGCTCTGGACCGAAGTTTCCACATTGGCTGTTACAAGTGTGAGGTGAGGGGTCCCTGGATGAGAACAAGGGCTTTGCAGAGCCCGGGATGCTGCGGGAGAGCACTAAGGGGAGACACAGCGCTCTCGGGCTAATGGGAAGGTATTGTTTCTCCCTACAGGAGTGTGGGCTGCTGCTGTCCTCTGAGGGTGAGTGTCAAGGCTGCTACCCGCTGGACGGGCACATCTTGTGCAAGGCTTGCAGTGCGTGGCGCATTCAAGAGCTCTCGGCCACTGTCACCACTGACTGTTGACTCTTCCTGGAAGTGCCTGCTGCGATCTTAGCCCTGTCCGTCACCTCCCCTGACACCCACCTTTACTGTTTGTTACCAAATGCTATTGCCTCTTCCCCTCTTTGTGAAATGATACCCCCTGAAGGGTTTAAAAGGACTCGTGAGTCTGCCGTTTCATTGGGATCTTAGGGGAGGAGGGCTGTGTAAGCCTCAGATTCCAGCACTTGGGAGTTCGGGGCCAGCCTGGTCTACATAGTAAGGTCCATGCCAGTGAGGACTCCGTAGTGAGATCATGTCTAAAACAAATATCTTACACTTTATTTATGTTTTTTTTTTTGAGATAGTGTTTCTCTGTGTAACAGCCCTGGCTGTCCTGGAACTCTCTTTCTGGACCATGCTGGCCTCGAATTAATGGCGATCTTTCTGACTGCCTCTGCTTCCTGAGTGCTGGGATTAAAGGTGTGTGCCACCACGCCTGGTTGCTATCCTGCTATCCTATGCTTCTGTTGTCATTACATCGTTAATTAGCCCATTTATTGTAGGCTGTGGATTCCTCAAATGGTTCATTGCTACTGCTCTTTCAGTTCCTTCAGTCTTCTGACAGCAGACTTGGCAAGCCATGTTGCAGGTCAGGGCCCACCAGCCACGGTTCTAATGCAGGAACCCCAGTGCCAGGCTTGGTGGCACACACCTAGAAATAGGCCTTTTTCCTCATCTTGGTCTTGCCCTGGAAGGAGCCGGTGCACTTGACAAGCTAGCTGATTTCAGTTTTCTTTGCTGTTTTTCAAAGGGAGTCAGTATAGCAGGTCCTGTGACGCTGACCTTCTCAGCGCATTTAACTGTGATGTCATGACATAGGCTAGAGCCACATGAAGTGCTTTTTATTAAGGACCAGTTCTGATGTATCCCAGGCTACCCTTGAATTTGATACACAGCTGAGATAGCTGAGGCTGTTCTTGAACTCTGGATCCTTTTGTCTTCACTTCTCAAATGCTGAGATTATAGGAATGTACCACTGTGTCTGGCTGCTTTTTTGGGGAGGGTGCTGGGGATGGGTCTGGGAGACATACACATGCTAAGCAAATGCCCTACCACGAAACTGTACCCCCAGCCTCCCTCTCGCCTTGTTTGGTTTCTTACTTCCTAAACCCAGGTTCTTTCATATGGTAGGCAAGCATTCTAACTCGAGCCATCTACCGCCACTGCTTCCCTTATCTTAAACTATGTGTGGATAAGCTGGGCGGTGGTGGCGCACGCCTTTAATCCCAGCACTCGGGAGGCTGAGGCAGGCGGATCTCTGAGTTCTAAGCCAGCCTACAGAGTGAGTTCCAGGACAGCCAGGGCTAAACAGAAGGGGAAAAAAATTGTGTGTGTGTACCTATGTGTGGGTATTTGGGCATTTGAGCATAGTGCCCTTGTAGTCCAGGAGAGCTCTCAGATCCCCCGGAACTGGAGTTTACCCGTGAGCCACCAGACATAATGAAACTGGTTCTCTGCAAGATTAGGAAGTTCTCTGAATCACTGAACCCTTTTCCAGGCCCTTTTGTAAATGTTTTTCATTTCTTTTTCTTTTCTTTTCTCTTTCTTTCTTTCCTTCTTCTTCTTTTTTTTTTTTTTTTTTTTGAGGCAGGGTTTCTCTGTAATTTTGGAACCTGTCCTGTAGCTCTTGTACACCAGGCTGGCTTTGAACTCAATGAGATCCGCCTGCCGCTGCCTCTCAAGTGCTGGGATTAAAGGCGTGTGCCGCCACTGCCCAGCAGAAAATGTTTTTGTGACAGAGTTTCACTAAATTGTTCAGCTTGGCTTTGAACTCGTTCTGCAGTCTTTTTTTTTTTTTTTTTTTTTTTTTTTTTTTTTGGTTTTTCGAGACAGGGTTTCTCTGTAGCTTTGGTGTCTGTCCCGGAACTAGCTCTTGTAGACCAGGCTGGCCTCGAACTCCCAGAGATCTGCCTCCCTCTGCCTCCCGAGTGCTGGGATTAAAGGCGTGCGCCACCACCGCCCGGCGTTCTGCAGTCTTTGAATTTGTGATTCTCTTGCTTCAATTTGAGTGGCTGGGATTACAGGCCTGTGCCCATTTTTTAGCTTGGCATTCTATTTACTGAGACGGGCTTAGTGTTATCTTGGGGAATTACGCGTTTAAACTGGGAGCTACTAGATCCTGGCGGTTGTTTTGACTGCTACGTACAGCTTCTCCATTAAAGTATTGGGCACTAAAACTGAGATTTGCACGGTTTGCAGGAGGATTAGGCGCCTCTGTCCAGGAAAAGCAGGAAGAGAGCGTTTTGCAGGTAGCACATACCGTGGATTTCTGCGGAAGGAGAAAATGGTGGGAGGAGATGCCTTTAAAATGGTTGCTTCTATGCATTATTCCCTAGACATCCACTGCCCTCAACGCCATCCATAGCGCGGAGGGGGCAAATCCACCCTTGAAGAGGTCAGGAGGTGCAATAGCCCAGGGTTCTTGCAACTCTTAGACGCAAACTTGTTCCGATCCAGAAGACGTTAGAGGGAGCGAAATTCTCCATTTCCATTCCCCTCGTGTGCAAAAGGAACGAGCACTTAGGGGAGGCCTGGCTTGGCCGCGCTCAGCTTCCGTAGCTCCTAGCGCTTGAGGGATTTTTGTCGTAAAACCGCGCGAGAGTTTCGTGTCTCCACCCTTTTCCCATCAGCCCCTCGTCCTCTCTTTTAGTTTAAGTTTGGCAGGGGGGGCTTGTTTGTAGTTTGAAGCCCAGCTCGGGGCGGCTCCGACCCCTTGCGACCCCCGCCTTCACCCTCAGCCGTCTCGCCCTCCTCCTTTTCGGCCTCCGGGCCGAGCATCGTCCCGTCCTCCTTCCAACCCTCCTTGCGAGCCATCCCCGCGCGTTCCGGTCCGCCCGGAAAACAAGCCCGCCGCCGCCGGCGCGCGCTTCCAACGGACCCGACCGCTGCCAGGTGGGGGAGGGGAAAGAAAGGCCCGGGCGGCGGGATCGGAAGCAGAGGACTGTGCCCGGGGGCTTCGGGGTGGACAAGGGGGAACCCCTGGGGACAGTGAAACTGTCGGAGCGATCGCCCTGCCCGGGATGGCAGGCCGGCCTCGGCGGGAGGGAGGCGGGCGTGCTGCCCCCGGGGGACTGTTCCTCCTCTGGTCCTCCTTGTTCATCATCACCGTGTCCGCCCGCCGCCGGGCCCCAGGCCTCCTCTGACAGCACGATGGGTGACAGTGATGACGAATACGATCGGAGACGGAGGGACAAATTTCGGAGAGAGCGCAGTGACTATGACCGTTCCCGGGAAAGAGATGAAAGACGGCGAGGGGACGATTGGAATGACCGGTGAGACAATATTAAATTTTAATGTAGTTCCCGCCTCCTTATCCCCCAGCCTTCCCACTCCGCGGTTTTATTCCATCCCACCTTACCTGCGTCGCCTTTTCCCTTACAAAATTTTGTTAAGATGTAGTCCACCATTGGACCGTTTTCTACTTACTGTTGTCTTGGATTTTAAAAAGCGTTTAAGATCAAAGTGACAGCCAGTGGTAGCGGTGGACAGGAGCCTTGTGCAGCTAGTTGGACCCGTGCATCCACCGCCAAGATGTAGGCCACATAGGGAGACCTCCAGCTCAAACCCTCACAGTAAGGACGAAAAGACAGATCAAAGCGTTAGAACCAAGAGTTTGAATGGGAAAATCAGTCTTTATAGGGGCATCCGGAGGTTTCTTGGCCCTTTGGCCTGGAACTTGCCGGGTAGCCAAGGATGGCATTAAGCTTCTGATTCTGTCTACTTTCCCCAATGCTGGGATTACAGGCATGTGCCGTACTAGGGATGGGAACGAGGTCTTTGTACTTGCTGGACAAGAGCTCAAGGAAGTTATGACCCTTGTCCAAGAAGCACTGCATTTTGTTATGTGTACATTGTATCTTTTATCTATTTATTTTTGTTTGCTTGTTTTGTCTTTCCTTTCTTGTTTTTTTTTTTGGGGGGGGGGTGTGATACAGGGTCTCTCTGTAGTCCTGGTGGTCCTGAAATTCACTACATAGACCAGGCAGACATTAAGCACAGAGACCAGTCTGCCTCTGCTTTCCCAGTGCTAGGAGTCAAAAAAAAAAAAAAAAGCCAAAAAGTAAAGAAAGGCCTGTGAGCGGTGGTGACACTCCTTTAATCCCAGCAGAGGCAGGTGGATCTCTGTGAGTTTTGAGGCCAGCCTGGTCTACAAGAGCTAGTTCCAGGACAGGCACCAAAGCTACAGAAAAAACCCTGTCTTGAAAAACCAAAAAATAATAACCCAGTGCTAGGATTAAATGAGTGCCTTTATCACCACCAGCAGCAAAATTTAAAAAAAAAAAATATGTTGGAGTGTTTTGCCTACATGATTTATGTTGTGCCTGATGCCTGTAAGAAGCCAGGATAGGTGGGGCAGTGGAGGTGGCACCTCCAGGTGGCAGAGGCAGGCGGATCTCTTTGAGTTCGAGGCCAGCCTGGTCTACAAGAGCTAGTTCCAGGACAGGTTCCAAAGCTACAGAGAAACCCTGTCTCCAAAAACAAAAACAAAACAAAAAAAAGCGAGAGAATAAGGCAGAACCGTGTTGTATTCCTAGAACTAGAAAGTTGACAGGTGGTTGTGAGCTGCCATATGATTCTTAGAACAGAGCCTCAGTCCTCTGAACTGCTGGGAGCCTTCTCTACACCCCTTGCACTTTGGTTTTTCAAACAGGGTCTCATTATGTGGTATAGACTGGCCTGGAACATGATCCTCCTGCCTCAGCCCCTTCAGTGCTTGAGTTAGAAGTGAGTCACCATACCCAACTTTCCTTGGTGTTTCTTTAAGGAAGAAGACACAGAGTTGCTTTTCTGAGTCTGAAACTAGATGAAGTCCTTCAGAGTTCACCAGCGAGGTCAAAGTGGCTTTGGGTACACGCCACAAATAGATCATTGTGAGGAAACTTAATTTCTGAGGGGCAGATGCTTAGCACGGAGGTCATAGGAAGGATGCCATCTAGGAGAACATCAGTTAGTGTTTCTGGTTTGGTGTTCAGGATGAGTGACGGACGGATGGGAAGTGTTCATCCTAGAGCACGGTGCTGCAGGGTAGTCGTGGTTGTTGTTAGCAAAAGCAACTGTGTGATGGGCTGGGGAGCCTGAAGCATTTTCTTACAGGTGCTGTTTTTTATTTGAGCAGTGTCAACACTAGGACTTCACCCTAATGTTAGCAAACTTGTGCAGAAGAGTAGCTAAGAGAAACTGTTGCTTAGAAGAAAGCTGTCTGTATTTGTTGCTAATGGAACTTGATGGTAGAAACAATTTTGGAAAACTTGTATCTACTGGTATGAGCTTGAAAATGTCCTAGTGTTCAAACTTTTCTGAGATGAGCAGCCTTTTATGAAATAGATCTTTTTTTTTTGTTTTGTTTTGTTTTTTTTTTTGGCTGTGTGTGTGTGGGGGGGTTGTTTGTTTTTAAACACAGAGTTTCTCTGTGTAGTTCTGGCTGTCCTAAAACTCATTTTGTAGACCCAGCTGGCCTTGGAACTTGGAGATCCACCTGCCTCTGCCTCCTGAGTACCGGGATTAATGACTTATATTAATGACTTATATTAATGGAATATATCTTGATACTGTATAGTGAGAAATGTCAGGAGCTGCTCAAAGAGCTGGTAGCACAGTGAGTAGAAGGGCATTGAACATTCTAGGCAAGCCACAGCCTTAGCCTACTGGTGTGGTTTTGGTTAAACAGTCCAGCTAACTTTTTTGGTTGTTGTTGTTTTGTTTTGTTTTTTTGTTTTTGTTTTTCGAGACAGGGTTTCTCTGGTTTTGGAGCCTGTCCTGGAACTAGTTCTTGTAGACCAGGCTGGTCTCGAACTCACAGAGATCCGCCTGCCTCTGCCTCCCAAGTTCTGGGATTAAAGGAGTGTGCCACCACTGCCCGGCCCAGCTAACTTTTTAAAGACAGGGCCTTATATAGCCTCGTTTGGTCTCATATTTACTATGTAGCTGCCTTCATTTTCCAAGTGCTAGTTACCTGCTTCAGCTTTTAAACTGTCTCTTTCCAGGAGCAGAGCTCACCCCTGTAATCAGCACTCCTGAGGCAAATGCAGGAGGATTTGTGGAAGTTGGAGACAATCCTGGTTTAAGTAGGGAGTTCCAGACCAGCCATGATTACAAAGGGGAAGAACCTGTCACAAAAACTAAAAAGGGGACCTAGTTGAGGGACTCACACCTTCTATTAGTTGCGGGAGTCAGGGACCAGCCTGTTCTACACAGTGAGTTCCTGGACAGCTAGGACTACATAGAAAGACCCTGTCTAAAAGATAAATAAATAAATACCCCCCCCCCAAAAAAAACCCCACAAAACCCAAAAACTACCTAGCCCAGCTGCTTGAGAGGCTGAGGCAGGAGGATTGAGAGCGGCTGGGCTTGGTGGTCCATACCTTTAATCCCAGCACCTGGGAAGCAGATGTAGGCATTTCTCTGTGAGTTTGTGGCCAGCCTGGTCTACAGAGTGAGTTCACGACAGCTAGGGCTACACAGGGAAAACCTGTCTCAAAAAAAAAAAAAAAAAAGTTTGAGAACTCTGCCAGCACAGCAGGAGTCCGTTAACTTTATGCAGAAGGTATAGCGGTGTAGCCAAAATTGTCTGAAAGGGCCACTTAAGTGTTTTCTTTTATGATAATGCATGTGGGCCCCGGTTGTCTGTCTTTCCATCTTACCACTGTGGGCGCTCTTCTGAACCAGACTTCAGAATAACTTTGTGATCTAAGCTTATAATCTCTTCTCCTCTTGAAACTGAGGCAGGAGGATCTCAAGTTTAGGTACTGCCTAGTATGCAGAGTGAGTTCAGGGCAGCCTGACAGGGGCATAGCACAGCTCAAAGGTGGAACAAATTCAGGAAGCACGAGATTGAGTTTCTGTACCTCCACAGTAATCTATATTAGTGTGTAGTTTTAAGGTTCACAGATGCTAAAGCTTTGCTTTAATGTAAGTGTAGTGATGTGTGCACTTGGGATGTGAAAGTAGCAGATAGGTTCGAAGTGATAAGCTGTAGTCACATAGGGAGGTCAAGGCCAACCTGTGTGTGAACCACCACAGCTGTCAAGCTACTGTGCTTTGTGTGTTGTGCAGTGCTAGAGAATGAACCCAAGGCCTGTGTTTTCTCTACCTTCTTTTCTTTTTTTTTTTTTTTTCAGTTTTTCTGTGTAATAGACTTGCTTTGTAGACCGGACTGGCCTTAAACTCACTGAGATCCGCCTGCCTCTGTTTCCCAAGTGCTGGGATTAAAAGCGTGCACCACTGCAGCCCAGCTAGGCCTGTGTTTTCCAGGCAGGCATTCCACCAATGCATCCGCATCTCCATCTTAGCTATCGTCTTTCCTATTGTGACTTGTTCTTACTTTCAGAGAGTGGGACCGTGGCCGTGAGCGCCGCAGTCGGGGTGAATACCGAGATTATGACCGGAATCGAAGAGAGCGCTTCTCACCCCCTCGCCATGAACTTAGCCCTCCACAAAAGCGCATGCGGAGAGACTGGTGAGGTGGCATTGCTTTCTTTTCTAACCCTCAGCTCCCTTGGGCCTCAGCCCTCCTCTTCTGCTGAAAGCTGGTTGCTTCCATGTCTCGGTCATCCCCACATACAGCCTTCCTTTGTCCCATTATCCCTTGGATGAGAGACTATATCCTATGTGTGCCCCTCCTCCTGCCCTTGTCCTTGTCCTGGAGAGGTGGCTCTGGTTCTTTCTGTGTCTGACTTTTGTGTCCCCTACCCTCAGGGATGAGCACAGCTCTGACCCATACCACAGTGGCTATGACATGCCCTATGCTGGGGGGGGTGGGGGACCAACTTACGGCCCCCCTCAGCCCTGGGGCCACCCAGACGTCCACATCATGCAGCACCATGTCCTGCCTATCCAGGCCAGGTAAAGCCTGGGGTTGTGGGAAGAAGGGATTTTCCAGGTTTTGGGACTGTCTGGGGCAGCTAGAGACCATGGTTGGAACCTGGGAGAGGGCTAGGTTCTGGGTGCCTGTGAAGTTAGCACTTACTGCTTGCATGGTGGGCATGTGGGCAAAGGAAGGGGTGGGTGTCTGACTGCCTAGATCCTACCTCTCCTTCACAATCGAGCCTTCCTCAGGCTAGGCAGCATTGCAGAGATTGACCTGGGTGTGCCACCACCCGTAATGAAGTCCTTCAAAGAATTCCTCCTGTCCCTGGACGACTCCGTGGATGAGACCGAGGCAGTTAAGCGCTACAATGACTACAAGCTCGACTTCCGAAGGCAGCAGATGCAGGACTTTTTCCTGGCTCATAAAGATGAGGAGTGGTGAGTGCCCCTGTTTGCCTGCCTTTTTTTTTTTTTTTCGAGACAGGGTTTCTCTGTAGCTTTGGTGCCTATCCCGGAACTAGCTCTTGTAGACCAGGCTGGCCTCGAACTCCCAGAGATCCGCCTGCCTCTGCCTCCTGGGATTAAAGGCGTGCGCCACCACCGCCCGGCTTTGCCTGCCCCTTTTGCCCTGGCCCATTTCTCTGGTCTGGCTGGAGGAGCTGCAGCCTTGTCCTCCTCCAGTTCTCCCCAACATGGTGCTTCCTGGGAGTGGGAAAGGGGAGGGAAACAGTGTTGGCTGGTGGGACCCCCACCCGTCTCCCTTCTCTGCTGTCCTCACTGGGACACCTCCAGGCAGTTGACCAGAGCTACTACTCAGCCTCTTGGGGCAGCACAAGACTGTGACCCTCTTGTTGGTGTGGGTCATTATCATCCCCAGTCACCAGGACCCCGTGTGGCAGTGGTCTCCCAAAGGCAACGAGTGAAGCCAGACAAGAACAGCCAAGATCTCAGGGTCATTTGACAGAAAAAAGAATTTGAATTTTTTTTCCTTATGTGGATGTTTTAATTTTAATCAACCATCTTTTCCCCTCTCCTGCTCCTCCTCCTCATCCTCTTTCTGCTCCTCCTCCTTGAAAAGAGCCAGAACTGGGAACTACACCCGCTCATCGACGGAGCTCGGAGCAAACCCACCTCCACCCCCACCATACCCAGCCCATACATGAGCCCCTGGGCAGAGCGGCGGGGCCCGGCCAGGCAGACAGGCAGGGCACCGCTGTGCACAATGCAGTGGTCTAGCTGAATGTATTGCTTAGGCAGCTAGTCAGTTAGGGCCCCCACCGCGGAGGCCCGCGGGGGCGGGGCATCTAGGCCGGTCACCCCAGCCAGGAGCCAGCGGGCAGCCCGCCAGCCAGCATGGGCCCTGGGCGCCACTAGTTAAATCTTGAGCTCTGTTTGACCAAGCAGCCAAGGTAAAGATCCTGGAGGTGACGCCTGCGGCTTTCCTCTCTGCTCAGCCTGTCCTGTCCTGTCCTATGTGCCCTTCTGATGCCCTGTGTGTCTTTGCATCACTCATGAACCTTTCATTCTTTCTTTGTCCATGTCTGCTCTCTGCTGAGCACTTTTGTTTTCTCAGCTCGTCTGTCTTTGTTTCAGATTTCTGGGCCCTCCTTACATTTCCCCATCCCTCCTTTCCTCTTTATTTCATACCCCTAGTTTGTTCTGTTTCGGCTTTCCTTCCCTACCCTCAGAGGCCTATTAAAATGCTTCCTTTTCACACTCTCCCCAAATTCTAACCCTCCAGCCCTCTTTTCTCTCCCATGGGCCTGTCTGAGCTGTACAGCCCTGGCCTCACCCTTTGCTCTTTCCTGTCCCTTCACTGCCTTATCATCCCGCTAGGGAAGAAAGGTGTCCTGCCTTTTGGCCTTTTCTATCTGGTACATTTCAGGTTTCCTTCTGGCTCCACCTGGGTGGAGGGAGTTGGCGGGAACCTCGTCTGGGCTTGGCCAGGAGAGGGAGGTTCTCTGGGGGCTCCTGCTCCCTAGCTTTCTGTGAAGCATTGGGAATGGAAAAATTGGCACACTAGTGCTTCTTCCCACAGCAGTAGAGCTGCCTCATGACCTGTGACCAGAGCATGGTCCTAACAGAGCTCTCAATTCTTGCTTCTCCCCACATCTTCCCAGAGCATGACCTCTGGTTCCTTTCGGGGTGTTGGGTGGTTTTAGTGCACCCCTTTCTTGATTTTATTACCTTCTGTGGGTGTGAGAGGCTATGCCCCACCTTTCTTGGGCCCCTCCCCACAGCCTTGCCTGGACCTTTAGTAACTGTTTTGTTTCTCCTACCCTGCTTGCTTCTTCTCCCAGGTTCCGATCTAAGTATCACCCCGATGAGGTGGGAAAGCGCCGGCAGGAGGCCCGGGGGGCCCTGCAGAACCGATTGAAGGTGTTCCTGTCCCTCATGGAGAGTGGCTGGTTTGACAACCTTCTCTTGGACATAGACAAAGCTGATGCCATTGTGAAGATGTTAGATGCAGGTGTGGGCTTAGAGGCTGGGGAGGTCTTGGCTGGGAATAGAAGCCCAAGCTCTGGTTACGACCTCTGCTGTTGTCGTTGGTAGCTGTCATTAAGATGGAAGGTGGCACGGAGAATGACCTCCGAATCCTGGAGCAGGAGGAAGAGGAAGAACAGGCAGGCAAGGCTGGGGAGACCAACAAGAAAGAGGAAGGCCGTGCTGGACCAGTCCCGGGGGATGGAGAGCGCAAGGTCAACGATAAGGATGAGAAGAAAGAAGATGGAAAACAGGTCAAGAGGCGGGGGCTGAGGGAGCCGTAACCTCCACTGTGGGATGGTAGGGGTGGCTCTGATGCGGCCAGAGGAAAAGATTGACATTCTCAGAAACTCTCTCTTCATGTAGCCGGAAAATGACAGTCCTAATGATGACAAAACTAAGAAATCTGAGGGTGATGGGGACGAGGAGAAGAAAGAAGAGGCTGAGAAGGAACCCAAGAAGGTAAGGTGTGTCTTGCATGAGACCAAGGTGTCAGACCAGATCTTGGGTGGTCTTGATTGGCTTGCTCCTGTTGTTCCCCAGAGCAAGAAGCGGAACAGGAAGCAGAGTGGTGATGACAGCTTTGATGAGGGCAGTGTGTCCGAATCTGAGTCCGAGTCTGAGAGTGGTCCAGCTGAGGAGGAGAAAGAGGAGACCGGTACGCTTCACTGTTGTTGTTTCTACTCCTTTGTTTTACTGCATGGGCTGGTGGAGAGAGACACAGAGAGCGAGAACATGCTCCAGAGACAGATAGTCTGACTGGTGGGAAGGTGTCCTGTGAGGTGAAGTCTGGTAGTAACTGCTACTCCACCCAAGTGAATAAAGTTGTATTAACTCCTACTTCTTCCTAAGTAGAAGAAGCACTTAAAGAAAAGGAGAAGCCCAAGGAAGAAGAGAGGGAGAAGCCCAAGGATGCTGCAGGGCTGGAGTGTAAGCCCCGGCCCCTGCACAAGACTTGCTCTCTCTTCATGCGCAACATTGCCCCCAACATTTCGAGGGCAGAGATCATTTCTGTGAGTGGGGACATTGGTCTTGGGGACAGGGCTGGTTGAGGTTCAGATCCTTCAGGTGGCAGGCTGCCTTTGGCTTAGGGACACCTGGTTTGGTCTGCCTTGTGGTTTTGGGTGTTGGGGATGATGGGTACTTTAGGGTTCTGAAAGTGCAGAGCTGAAAGGCGTGAACTCTTCTCTCTGTCCTTGACTCCTGCAGCTCTGTAAGCGGTACCCAGGCTTTATGCGAGTGGCGCTGTCGGAGCCCCAACCTGAGAGGAGGTGAGCTGGACAGTGATGAGCAGTCCACTGGCTCTATCCCAGGACCGTGCTAACAGGCTCTGCTAACAAGCTTTCTCATGTAGGTTTTTCCGCCGTGGCTGGGTGACTTTTGATCGCAGCGTTAATATTAAGGAGATCTGTTGGAACCTGCAGAACATCCGCGTAAGTGCTGGGCACGGGGCTGCAGGAAGCAGCGCAGGCTCTGCCTGTCCACTCGCAGCCACGAGTGTTCACCTACTTGTTTCCCTTCTGTCTGAGAAGCTGTGGGGCTGGGACCATGTTCAATCCCTCTGGTCCCTGACCCTTGGGGAGTTTGGATTTAACTACCAGTTCTCTATAGGGCCCAGTCTTGAGGGTGTAGCTTCTGGGGCAGTCATGGGCCAGCTTGTTGTGTCCCTACAGCTCCGTGAGTGTGAATTGAGTCCTGGTGTGAACAGAGACCTGACCCGTCGTGTCCGCAACATTAATGGTATCACACAGCACAAGCAGATAGTGCGCAATGACATCAAGCTGGCAGCCAAGCTGATCCACACACTGGATGACAGGACCCAGCTCTGGGCCTCTGAGCCTGGGACACCACCTGTGCCCACAGTAGGTGACTCCCAGGGATTATTTCCAGTGCACCCAACAGCTCCTTAGAGTATCTTAAGTTGAGAAGTCAGAAGGGGGTAAAATGTAGAACAGGAGTTGAATGTGTAACTGAACAATCAATTGGGAGAACTCACTATCCCTCTGACCTGCCCTCTGACCTCATTTTCTTATTTTCATGACCTCTGTCTGGATCCTACCCAGAACTTCCCTTATTTGCCCCTTTGGGTGGTATCTCCCCATTTTAAGTAATTTCTGGGCTGGGCAGGAAGGGCCTACATAGTGGCAAGCAGTAGGAAGCGCTTCCCTCTTCCCATCGTCTCTGCCTCACTGTCCATCTCATTCCTGTTAGAGCCTGCCCTCGCAAAACCCCATCCTAAAGAACATCACTGACTACCTGATTGAGGAAGTGAGTGCGGAAGAGGAGGAGCTTCTGGGGAGCAGTGGAGGGCCCCCTCCTGAGGAGCCTCCCAAGGAAGGCAACCCAGCAGAGATCAATGTGGAGAGGGATGAAAAGCTGATCAAGGTGCCAGCTGTGCCCATCTGGGGTGGTGTGGCCCTGGGGGTGCTGGCTGCGTAGTGACCTGGTATGTCTCACTCCCTCAGGTCTTAGATAAGCTCCTGCTGTATTTGCGGATTGTGCACTCTCTGGATTATTACAACACTTGTGAGTACCCCAACGAAGACGAGATGCCCAACCGCTGCGGCATAATCCACGTTCGGGGGCCCATGCCTCCCAACCGGATCAGTCACGGAGAAGGTATGCTGCAGGTCCCCTGAATCTTGTCTTGTGTCCCCCGTCTTCTCCTGTCCCTCCTTACCCCTGCCTCCAGCTCGCTCTAGCCTGCTCTGTTGTCCGATCCACAGTGCTGGAGTGGCAGAAGACGTTTGAGGAGAAACTGACTCCGCTGCTGAGTGTGCGGGAATCACTTTCTGAAGAAGAGGCCCAGAAGATGGGGCGTAAGGACCCAGAACAGGAAGTGGAGAAGTTTGTCACCTCCAACACGCAGGAACTGGGCAAGGATAAGTGGCTCTGTCCTCTCAGTGGCAAGAAATTCAAGGTCTGGGATGTGAAAAGAATTGGTGGGAGGATTGGGAGGTGGCCTTGGGGCAGCAAGACCCCTTAGAGGACTGGAGGAGGCTGTGACTGCCCAGGGGGTTCTGGAGGAACAAGACTGCAGCATGTGCTGCCCTCTTCTGGTCCTTCCCACCCAGGGCCCTGAGTTTGTACGCAAACATATCTTCAATAAGCACGCAGAGAAGATAGAGGAGGTGAAGAAGGAGGTGGCATTCTTTAACAACTTTCTCACAGACGCTAAGCGCCCAGCTTTGCCCGAGATCAAGCCTGCTCAGCCACCTGGCCCTGCCCAGAGTAAGATATGATCCATGAGACTGCCACACCTGATTCCTTACTCGAGAAGTGTACCCCACTAACCTCTCGGCCCTATTCCTAGAATCCTTGTCATCTCCTTTCCTCCCCCGCAGTAATTCATGTTCCTGTCCATGTTGTACTCCCCCCAGGCCTGACTCCAGGACTTCCCTATCCGCACCAGACGCCACAGGGCTTGATGCCATATGGTCAGCCCCGGCCTCCCATCTTGGGCTATGGAGGTGAGTCTGGAAGGGCAATGCAGGGGCTTGGTGTTTGAGGAGGGCTCCAGAGCTTAGCTAGGCTGAGGTTGAGGTCAGTTTTTAGTTCAACCTGGGTCTTTGTCATAGCTGGTGCTGTCCGCCCTGCAGTCCCAACAGGAGGGCCTCCATACCCCCATGCTCCGTATGGCGCCGGTCGCGGGAACTATGATGCTTTTCGAGGCCAAGGAGGATACCCTGGGAAACCTCGGAACAGGTGAGCAGGAATGGACAGGCCCACGCTCCTCCCCCTCCTCTGACCAGGGGCTTCTGTTCACCCCACACTCCTGTATTTCACAGGATGGTTCGAGGAGACCCGAGGGCCATAGTGGAGTATAGGGACCTGGACGCCCCAGATGATGTTGATTTCTTTTGAGCCCCTCACTCTACATCGACGACCATCTACTACCCATGACCACTTCATCCCATCAGCTGAGAATTTTTTTGTACGTTGTTTTTCCTGCTAGTAAAAAGCACTTTGCTAGTGTCTCATGTGCTGTACACCTTTCCCAAACACAGGCAGGACCGGAGTCAGCTGAACTGTGCCAGTTTATTACTGTTTTTGAGAAGTGTCCCTCTAACCCTGGCTAGCTAGAACTTGCTGGGTAGACCACCAGGCTGGCTTTGAACGCAGATCCACATGCCTGTGCCATTGCCCCGTCCCAGAGTTTTGGTGGTGGAAGAGACCAGTGAGCAGTCTCAGTTCTGGAGCCTGTCCCACAGTGCAGGCAGGGTGGGTCGATTCAGGTACGTCTGGTCAAGCACAGGTTGTAAAAGGAACTGGAATCAAAGACACTGCTTACCTTTTGCCAGCCCACCCACCCAGCAGCTTGCAGTTCGCTCCTGTTCTTCGGAGTGCCCCAGTAGTGTGGGTCCAGTATCAATATATAGGTTTCCGGACCTGGCCCCTCACAGATTCCCAGCAAGGCTTTAGACTGAGCATCTGCATCCCCTCCCACCATTACTGGGCCACCGCCCTCCATGAAGTGGGAATAAAGCCGCTCCAGTTCTCCCAGAAGTCCGGCTCCACGGGGCACGTGGCATAGGCGCCCCTGAAGTCCTCCAAAGTGTTCCAGGCAGAGACTGGCCTCTACACAGCCAATCCAGTCCCGAGAGTCCCGGAACCCTGGGGGCTTATCGCCCATGTCCTCCAGGGCAGCCTGTATGGCTGCCAGCCCAGGCACGCTGGAAGACTGGCCCTCTGGCCAAGAGCACAGTGTCTGCAGCGTGCGGTAGCCACATCCCCAGCCGCGGTCATCCAGTCCATCGCAGCCGTAGTGATAGTAAAGGTAGTGTCCCGAGAGGAGGGCCAGTCGGGCGGGATCGTGGCAGGGCAGAGCCAGGCCCAGGTGCACGTCCTTCAACAGCTCCAGGGTGCTCAGGCAGGTGTCAGCCGAGGCGGGGCGAATTACGGGTTCCCGGTCTTTTCTGGAGCTAGCTGCGGGCAGGGTGGGCGCGCGGAACCGGGGAACCCTCACCAAACCGAAGCACGAAGGAGAAATGCCACAAGTAGACACCGATTTCGGAGCCTTCTAAAAGATGCGGACGAGCAGCTGCGCAGTCGCAAGCTCCGCCCCAAGGGGTGGGTCCAGAACTTGCTTCCGCCGGATCCTGCAGGCAAGGTGCAGCGATGTTCGCCAATCCTGAGACTTCTGTTTCCAGCACTGACTCGATCCCCGCCCCAACTTCCCGCCAGTAGCACAAACTAGTGGCTGTAACAGTTTATTGGCGGCCCGGAGGGGCGAAGGCACCGCGGGGATGGGAGCTCGGTCCCAGACATGCAGAAGAAGGGGAGCCCCTGGTGGGGGGGGAGTCGGGATGGGGTGGACAGGGTCTGGGGCTTGGTTGTATTATATCCCAGCCCTTAAATAAATAGTATATATACACAGCTAGGGGCTCGGGCAGGGCGGCGAGACCTGAGGGTCCCCCCAGGGTCACAGGTCTGAGCAGCGTTCCTGCTTGCTGTAGTGGTCGAACTGGTTCTTCCAGTGTACCATGTAGGAGCTCCAGCGGTGGAACTCGGCCTTCCACTGGCGCTCTGCCTCGTCCAGCGTGTCTGCGGCCGGGGCGCCCCGCAAGAGTAGGAGAGGGAAACGGAGCGGATAGGGCAGCAAGAGGGGGCGTGAGTGCGCCGCCGTGCACGCCACGTAGGAGGCCGAAGGGAGTGGTGGGAAGAGAACAGTGGATGATACGGAGGACGAGAGTAGAAGTGGAGAAGGGTGGCAGGAACACGCGTGGAGAGAAATGGTCGGAAGATGGATGGGAGGGACAGGACCAAAATGGGAGGAGGGTCCATGGGTTGGGGAAAAGAGAGAAGACACAGAAATGGTTGGCGGTTATAAGCCCCATTGACTGACGCTGTCTATCCCCGGGTCCTTCTTCCCTCAACATCAGGCTCAATTTCCAGGTGATAATTTTAAATTAAAAAAAAGAAAACTGGTTTTTGGATTTTCGCTTAAACTGACTTTGTCCAGTTTGTCTCGGCTTGAGAAGGGAGGGGGTGCTGTATCCCTAGAAGGGGCCCCTCTTTTCCTTCCAGCCACATACTAGAGTAAGTGTCCTCTGAGGCCAGAGGAGAGAAGAGGCTGTAGTCACAGCCACGGAAGCCGGGAGTGGAGGAGGAAAAGGAAGAGAAGGAGAAAGGGCAGGAATAAGTCGGGCCTGGGCCTCGGGGCAGCCTCCCCATGGGCGGGGCTTGGGCAGGTGCAGGGAGCCTCCGTGGCTGGGGGAGGTGGAGAAGAGAGGGGATTACACCCTGTCTTTGCATCCCTTTGCTCTCCCCTCCTTCCAACCCTTGCCGCCTCATTAGTTCCCTGCCCTTCACCCCCACCCCGCGCCTACCAGTGGCGCTGAGCAATTTGGGCAGAAAGCGATTCCAGAAGGCGCAGGTCTGGGCGCGCAGCCCCCGCCGCACCTCCAAGGGCCTCAGGTTCAGGCTCACGTATTGCTGCGCTCCAGTGGTGTACGGTGGCCACTGTGGGGTCTTGGAGTCTCGAGGGTCATTGGGGTCTCTGCGGAAGGAAGGGGAAATCTCAGCCTGCCCAGAGGGATAAGGAATGATGTCGTTGGTCCTCTTCCTGACTCTGAACCCTCTTCAACTCCAGGGAGACACCCATCCTCTCCTCCTTACTCCTCCAGCCATCTGTCTATCTCATCTGTGTGTGTTCGTCGCGCGCGTGTCACTGTGTAACTCAATTTGGCAATGCTTCTGCCTCAGTTTCCCTGAGCGCAGGGACGACAAAGGGTGTTTTTCTCCACTTCCCTTTGTTTTCTTTGTTCAATTTTTATTTTCCCCTTCTATTAAAAAAAATCCTAGTTGGGCGTAGGTAGGGTGCAGTCCTGTCTCTAAAACATGGGTGACAGAATATCTGGTGCCCTCAAGGGTTTGTGCCTGCTAGGCAAGTAAGTACTTTACCAACTGAGGTGCCCCAGCCCTCTATTGCCTTTCTCTGTCTTTAATATTTTTTTTAAAAATTATGATGATGATGTGTGTGTGTGTGAGAGAGAGAGAGATGTGGAAGTCAGAGATAAATGTGTGGAGTTTTCTCCTTCCACGCTTATGTGAGCTCCAGGGATCCAGCTCAGGTAGTCAGGCCTGCACAGCGATGCTTTTTACCTGTTTTGAGCCATCTTGCCAGTCACCTCGCTATCTCTTGCAGTGCTGGGGATGGCCTCGTATATATTTGTGTCCTTAGCCTTCTACCAGTGAGCCGTACTTCCAGCACTCGCCCCAACCCCTCCCCCACCAAGGCTTCCTACGTAGTTCCATGTAGCCTGGGTATATAGAGTGGACTGGGCTCTATCTCCTGAGTGCTGGGATAAAAAGTATCCGGCTCTGTCTCTTAAGGACTCCCCCTTCTGCCTGCCTTGTTCTCGCATCCCCTTTCCTTTGTGGGTATTTCTCTTCCACTATCAGCCATAAGCACCCATCTCCCCTGGACCCCCAGAGGCCATCTCCACTCCAATACCACTGACCCTGTGCGGGCAAAATTGGTCCAGTATTTCATAAGTCGCTGAGCAAAGATTCTCTCCTCCATGGTGTAGTTCAGCGAGGGGTCCAGGGGGAGCCCAAAGATGAACTCGATTTCATAGCCATGGGGCACCCCCATCCAGAGGGGCCAAGTCAATGTGGAGGCACGGTGTTCAAAGACGTAGGCATAGACCCGGGCCCCTTGGGCAGCCAGTCGCCCAGCCAGCTGGGCCACGGGGCACACAACGTTGTGGTCGCCTACCACTGCACTCATGGCATCCCTCAGGTGGGCAGGGTCCTCAGGGTGCAGCCAGTCTGTATAATGTAGGACCACAGCCTCGGCCGCCAGGTCACTTGCTTGGGGTACACCGATCCGCACCCCAGCCAGGAACTGGGCCCGGCTGATGAGAGATTCATTGTCTTTGCTGAAGCCTGGGACCCCGTAAACCAGAAAGTAGGAGCCCTCGTCCTTCACCACACCCACCAGCACCTGAGGATTGTTGGAGATGGGGAGAAGGATGGAGAGATGATAGACAGGCAGACAGAAACAGATGAACAAACAAATAGCCAGAGGGACGAACCATCACAGAGTCAGAATTACGTAGAGAGCAGGGAAGGGACAAGGCATGGAGGAAAGAAAAAAAATATACCCATCGTTTCTTTTTTGCCCAGCAACTACTATGGGATCTGAACCCTCCTCAGGGAGGGAATGACCTTGGGACCCACAAGCTCGGACCTCTAACAGTGGGTCTGCAGTAAGCCCTCATGCTTGGGGCTCTGGGGAAGGAAGGGGAGGAATGGATGAAACCCAGAATACTCCGGGCAACCATTAGTCACCTGCAAGTCTTGAAAATCTCCAGCATTGATGAGGGCCTCTGGCGTGTCACTGAGGAAGTCCCCGTCCACCACAGGCACGAAGGAAAATCGGAAGATACTCTCTTGAGGCAGCACATGCCACTCGTGGTCCACCAGGTCCTGAGCTGGCCGAGTCCGCAGGCAGGCTATCAGCTCTGTGTCATTGCCACCAGCGCCACCTGGGGGACAGCCCACTAGGCGGGCCAGCAGTGTGGCCCTGCGCCTGGCCTCTCCTGCACTCACGGTGGCCCAGGGCCCATTGGGCGTACCACTCTGTAGGACAGCCCTGTGGAAGAGGCTGCGGCTGGGCGGGGACAGAATGTGCATGCCCACCGAGGCTGCACCTGCACTCTCCCCAAACAGAGTCACTGACATTGGGTTTCCCCCAAAGGCTGCAATATTTTCTTGTACCCATTGCAAGGCAAGCCGTTGATCCAGCAGGCCTACATTGCCAGGGGCTTCTCTGCTGCCCGGAAGGGCCAAGAAGCCAAAGGTTCCTACTCGGTAGTTCATAGATACCAATACGGTCCCCTCAACCTGGGCCAGGAAACGGCCATCATACACGTCCAAGGAGGATGCTCCACTGTAGAAGCCACCCCCATAGATCCAGATGAGGACAGGTGCGGGAGAAGTAGGCCTGGGGTATGGTGTCCACACATTAAGATACAGGCAGTCTTCACTCAGCTCTCGGTTGGGGTTCCACATCTCAGTACCCTCAAACCCAGGGTATAGGGTGTCCACATATTGGTAGCAGACATTTTGAAAGGTGGTAGCATCCAACACTCCTGACCAGGGCCGCTTGGGCTCTGGTGGCATAAACCTACGCGAGCCCACAGGTGGCTCTGCAAAGGGGATGCCCAGAAAAGCTGCGACTGGGCCCCCAGGGGCCTTTAGGCGAATGCCCCTCAGCTGGCCCCCTCGAACCCTCACCAGCAGCTGTAGGTCTTTCTGGCCCTCAGCCCCTGCCCCTCCTCCCAGGAGGGAGAGGAGGAGGAAGAGGAGGGGAGATGTCAGGGAGGGTGTGTGCAGGGGATACCAGGAAGGCCTCATGACTGCCATGACAGGCGGATGTCTGCTGGGAGAAAGAAAGGTAAAGGGTGAAGACAGGAGGCAGCTCAGAAGGAGATTAAGTAACAGTTTTGCCTAAGGGTTATCAAGGAGTTGCAGAGGAGGTGGGGCAGATTGGCAAGGGGAGGGGAGGAATGGAATCAAACACGGAGACAAGACGCAGGCAGACAAACCGGAGGGAACACAAGATCAAACAGACACACACACACACCCATACCACAACAAGTGCAGCCAACTGAGATAAGACCCACTAATACACACTCTCCCCGGCCCAGCAAGTCCCAAGGCCTCCCATACCTCCTTCCCCTGCCTCTGTGGCTTGGCCTAAGACCCCCTTGCTTACAGAGCTGGGTTGGAAAGGCCTCAGTTCTTGTACAGGCCTCAGGACAGGGGCGGGGCCCTCGAAGCCGGGTGGGGCCCTTCAGGAGCTTGCAAGTTTTGGTAAGAAAGCACATCCCAAGTCTCTCTGGGTTGGCCAAAGCCTTCAGGGACTGGGTTGGGCATTCAAGGTATTGGGAGTCCCAGGTCCTGAAGGCATCCCAAATCCTGTCCAGTCCACACCTTGCCCCACCCTGCTCAGCCTCATCTTCTTCCTGGTACAGCCGGTTGGTACCCGTTTGCTTCTCATCAGCCGCACCCCTCTCTCCTGACTCCAGCCAATTGGCTCACCAGCCCCTTGAGGGGCTCCCCAGGACTCAAGCCCCTATGCATCCCTATATTGCAGTGCCTGCCGCTGCCAACCGGGAGCAGCAGAGACCAAGAGGAGGCCAGTGCTCCCCGCCCGAGCCTTGATGTGGGGGGGATCTGAAGGATCGTGAGCATCGCAGAGGGGACTGAAGGGCGAGTCAGGACGCCTGTGTTCCGGAGCTCCGGAGATCCCCGCTGCAAAGGCAGGGGTGCTATTTTGGGGGCAACAGCTGTTGTAGTTCCGGCATCTCCAGCCAAGAGATCAAAATTCCCCGGGTCGGAACTACCCCCTCCGGGCGTTCACCCATCACCCAGCCAGCCCTGTTCGTCTGGATCTGGGGATAGTGGCGTTGCTGGAGATTAATCAGGAAACCCGAGTGGGGCTAATTATAACTCGGGGCTTCCGCTGAGCCTCCCTTTAGAAAAAAAAAAAAAGGAAAAAAAAAGGAAGAAAGAAAAATAGAGACGGAATCTCCGCAGGAGGGGGTTCTGAAGCTGGCAAGGGGCTCTGGGTAGGGACGTTGGGGTCGCGGCCTTCGGGATGGGGGGTGGTGCAGTCGGGATGTCAGTAACCTGCGCAGTTTGGGCTCCGCCCCAAACAGGGGGCGTCTTCCAATGTCCCCAGACTTGGAGGAGACTGGGGAATGGGGCTTCAGGGGGTCCCTGCAGGAAGAGAGCGCAGAAGCAGCCACCGGCCAGGCGAGCATCACCATAAGTATGCTGCGGCTAGCGGGAGTTTCAGAGGAGTGCGAGGTAGTGGGGGGCCCCTCTGGGCAGGCCCCGGGAGGCAGAAGGCGCAGTGGACTCTGTTTGGGGGGCTCCGATCATTCCAGGACCGCCCGGTTTCCCTGGGATGCGGATTGGTCCCCAGGCGGTGGAGGGTCCCGGGTGGGTTGGGAGACTCACCTGAGGCGGCTAAGCCGGGCCGGGTCGGGCCGCGCCGGGAGCTGGAGGCGGCCAATGTTCCCCGGCGCAGGCTGAGCCGACAGTGACAGCCGCCTCCGGCCCCCCGCACACACCCCTCCGGGCCGCACGGCGCCCCCGCCCGCCCACTGTCTCCGCCCCCGCCCCTCCCCGCTCCCCCGGGCTGCCACCTCCCCTCCTTCTCCCTCCCTTCAAGCCCCGGGACCCCGGGGAGCGGGGCCCAGACACGCTCCAGTGTTAGACTCAGACAGACCGACAGACCCGCAGACCTGCAGCGACGGGTCAGACACCCACGTGACAGATAGACGGACCGCAGCCTGCGGAGACACCAGACACCGCTCACGCAGGCGACAGTCTCCTGCGGTGACAAGTCACAGACAGACCGATTTTCATGGACGGAAGGACATAATGATAGCCCTAATCCAGAAAGATCAGAGGCCTATTACTTGAGCATCTGTAACCACGACATAGCATGGGGGTGGCTTAGGAGAAGCGACATGTGAAATCCTGACCGAGGACCCCCTCAGCTGGCACTGGTAGAAGAAAATGACGTGGAGCATCTCTGGAGATGAAGGGACACCTGTGGGAACAGATACAGAAACACAGGCTCTTCCTCATAGGAGGAGACCCCCCCGAGGGCAAGGAGAGGTGACGCGGGGACAGTTGAGAAGGCAGACCACACAGTGGCCTGCAGAAGGCTGCAGGGCGAGACTGCACACGGCCGCAGCAGTGGAAACTTCCGGAACCCCCAAGGGTGGGCTTGAGCTGATTCCCCTGACCGATGACCTCCGGCTGTCATCACAAGGGTCCGGTCGGGCCATGACATCACCAGGCCAAGCTTTCATTGGTCGCTGTGGTTAGCAGGTGGGAGCGACCAGGCCTTGGAGCCCCCAGACTGCTCATGAGTCCTACAGACCACACGCTCTGCCTTCTAGGGAGTCTCCCTATCAGCACCCGAGTGACGGTGGAAATTGTGCAGCTTCGTGCCCACACGAGATCACTACGCGGGAGGGACAAGTGGCTCGCGAGGTGGGTGGGGGCATCTGTCCCTGGAGCCTGCCGGCCGCTGCTGCGTGGGAAACTGGCCTGCACGCGCGAGCGTGAGGACGTGCGTGCGCGCGCGCGCGGTGCGGGGCGCTGCGTGGAGCGATGTGGGGGGAGGACACGCGCACGCATGCTCGCTGTGACCGCCGCGCGCTGTCCCTCGCGCCCCAGACACCCATCGGTCACCTCCTAGGTCCTGGGAGCTAGGGCGCACTGCCTTGAAGAAGGTTGGCCCAGGGGACACCAGCGCTGAGTCGAACCCCGCCCAGAAGTGCGCTTTCCACGTCTCCAAACTACGACATCCCCCACCTCCCAACCCTCCTGTCCCTGGAGAACCTGGCCACTGCATGCCGGGAAACGCATCTGCAGGCCAGCTCACCCGCGACGAGTCGGTGCTTGACTCGATGACACTATCGCCAGGTGGCGCCAGAGGCTGCCACTCTGGCCTGGAAGACGGATGGGATCAGCCCTTCATTATCTGTTTCCTGGTCTTTCTGGAAAGAGGGGCGAGGGTGTGTTACTGTCGCTGAGGGAGAGAAAGAGTCTGAAGCGGCTTCTGAGCGTGATAATGCTAGATCGTTAAAACCATGGAGAAACGGGGGGAACGAATGAGCCCAGTTTTGTCCAGTCTTGACGCTCAGGGCCTTTAGCCCATAAAGTGGGCCCTGTTAGTGATGGTATCTTGTTCCTTGTCCAATTTGTTCGAGAGCAAGTGATGTTGGGCAGTTTATTATCTGATCTTTGTAATTACGAGTTTGTTTCACCGAAGGAAAGATCTGGGACAGGAATAAGCTATCTGTGGACCTCAGGGCTATTGCTAAACCCATAATATCTTAGATGACTAAGTAAGTGAAAGAGCAGGGGAAAAGGCAGGTGGTGACCAGGCAGTCAGGGCGCTTGCCATCAACACTGTAACCTAAGTTAAACTCCTGGGGCACACAAAGTGGAAAAAGAGAAACAACTCCCTGAAAGGTGTCCTTTGACCTCCACGTGGGCACCGTGGCATGTACCCTACCCCCCATAAATAAGGATGAAGGAGAAAGAGGAGGAGGAGAAGAAGTTGAGAAAGAAGCTTTGGAGACAGCCATGTAAGGCTGGCACACTGCGCTTGACGTCAGGGACCAGTTGCTTCTACCACAGGGAACCTTGCTGCCCCCTTTGCTGTGTCTTGCTTTGCCATTTTCAGCAAGGGGCTCCCACCATGTGGCGCAACTGTTATATCAGCCATAACATCTGCATTCCCCAAGATGGGATCGGAGAAACATTGAACAGCATTCCTGCTCCTTTTAATGTCATTTTCTGGAAATTGACACGCAGTCCTTGCCTTTCCATACCGCTGGCCAAAATACTTGAGTTTCCATACTAGGTCAAAGTGTAATTCTAAGATCATAATTGCTACGAAAGAGGTCTAACTATGTTGACTTTGTTTAGACTGATCTAAAATTTGACACATTTAAATCACGTTTTATTTATTTATTACAAGGCTGGGCAGTGGTGGCACACGCATGTGTAGAGGTCAGAAGATAACTTGTGGGAGTCAGCTCTCTCCTTCCAGCACATGGGTCCTGAAGACAGATTGCAGGTCTTGGTGACAAGCCCTTTACCCACTAAGCCAATTATAATCAGCTCTTGACTGTCTTTTTTTATACAACTTACTTTCATTTTATGTGCATTGGTGTTTTGCCTGCGTATATGTCTGTGTGAGGGTGTCAGATCTTGGAGGACACAGACAGTTGTGAGCTGCCATGTGGGTGCTGGGAATTGAACCCAGGTCCTCAGGAAGAGCAATCAGTGCTCTTAACAGCTGAGCTGTCTTAATAATAGAAAGAAGAGAGAACATATTCTTGGGGAAGGTTCCTATCCGCTAAATGCCATGACACCTTCCTTTGTCTCTGTCACCTCATGTGTGAAACACTTCTAAAACATCCAGATTTGGAAGACGACACCATTGCTTCCACAAAATCTGCACCCCTAGTTTGTAACCTGTGCTCCAGGTTGGCTTGGGTTCTCCTGTCATGCCTGGGCCATCCACTGGAGGATGCTGTTTGAGATCCTGTGGTCCTCCTGGAGGAGTAACATCCATATCGTACACTGGAGGGCGCTGTTTGGGACTTTGGAGGTTGACAGGGAAGGAGCATCCAGAATGGAGGTCCTTGAGGGCATTGTGGAGATGGAGAGGTGGATAGGACAAGCGGTCCTAAACATGGGAGTTCTGTTCTGGGGACATTAGGTCCTGATTTAGATCTTTCCAGAATGAGAGGGACAGTCTCCAGCCAATGCCATCCTAGGTTGTTCTGCCCCAGGGGGTGTCCAAAGCAGCCATTGCATGATTCCCAAGAATCGAGGTTGTGACTCTGAAAAATGGGCAATCTGAGGCTATTCCTTTCATTGTCCATTGTTTCCTATGTCCCTTACTCCAGGTTATCCTAAATTTTAGGCTAGGGGCTTGTCTCAGTGATAGAGCAACTGTCTAGAATCTCCCAGTGAGGGGCTGGGGTGTGGCTCAGTGGTAGAGCCCCTGCCTAGAATCCCTCAGTGAGAGGCTGGGGTGTGGCTCAGTGGTAGAGCACCTGCCTAGAATCCCCAGTGAGGGGCTGGGGTGTGGCTCAGTGTTAGAGCACCTGCCTAGAATCCCCCACTGAAGGGCTGGGGTGTGGCTCAGTGAGTGGTAGAGCACCTGCCTAGAATCCCCCACTGAGGGGCTGAGGTGTGGCTCAGTGGTAGAGCACCTGCCTAGAATCCCCACTGAGGGGCTGGGGTGTGGCTCAGTGGTAGAGCACCTGCCTAGAATCCCCAGTGAGGGGCTGGGTGTGGCTCAGTGGTAGAGCACCTGCCTAGAATCCCCCAGTGAGAGGCTGGGGGCATGGCTCAGGGATTGTGGCTGCTGCCCTAGGATGTGGAAAATCCTGGGTTCTATCCCAGTCCAGCATAGGGGAAGTCGAGGGAGATAATATCCCATTATTTTAAAAGAAGCCTTAACCTTGCATTACACTTTTGAAACCCAAATGACCAAGGAGAACTATCTTTTACATAATGATCGGACTATCATTTTGGAATATTTTTATTTAAAATGTTTTATCTTGACATTTATTTATTTGTTTTTATATCCATGTGTGTGTGTGCACATGCATGTGTGCATGTGTTCACAAGTGTGCCTTGTCGCATGTGTGGTGGTCCTCTCTCTATGTGTGAGGTCAGAGGATGGAACTCAGGTCATCGGGCTTGATGCATGTTGGGCGAGTGATTTACCTTTGAGCTGTGACCCCAGGGACCAGATCCTTGTCATTGTACCCAGGAGGGGTAAGGAAACATCAGAACTGAATTCAAAGAAGGGTTTCACCCCAGACTCGGATGACCCTATCACTAGCTGTGTCTCCCACTTGTCTGTGACCCAGACCTGAGCTGTAGCTTTATTCTTCTCTGGCTCTGCAGATACCTTAGGAAGTTGTCTACAATGCTTGCTGCTGCCCACCTGCCCCAGGATTCTCCACTCACTATTGTTTCTGAGCTCCTGCGCCTGCCACGGAGTTGGGAAGGAAGGGGAGAGGGGGCAATGTGGGTGGTGGAGGGTGGGGCTCCAAGTACTTACAGTTAAGACCTCAACTCCTCTTCCCTTCATCTCTCGCCAGGGTCCCCGGGCTCTCATGCCCTCCTGTCCTGCCTCCTCCATAGAAGGACCCTTTGCTTTGGAAGCTCAGTCTCTGAGAGCTGGTCTCATTTCATTTCTGTTGCTATGATAAAACACCTCGAGGAAAATGACTTAATAGAGAAAGGGTTTGTTTTAACTTTACAAATCCAGGTTACCACCCATTATTGTGGGCATGCCACAGTAGTGGCAGCTTGAGACAGCAGCCACAGCAGACTGACGGTCCAGAGCAGGGGGAAATGAAGGCATGCACCTTCCCTCACTTGCTAAGCTAGATTTCTCCTCTTTTATACAGCCCAGGATGCCCTGCCTAGGGAGTGGTGCTGCTCACAGTGGGCTTAGTCCACATCAATCAACTTAAGACAAGCTGCGAAGACACTGGCCAACCCAGGCGACTCTAGGTTAGCTCTCACAAAGT